CTACCCCTCTAAAGACAAATCGTAAGATTTGAGTTGCGGGTTCACTTGTGACGGAACCGTTCGCATTATTTTTCGGCTTGGTCGCCTAGAGGCTGAAGTTCGTGCCTTTTTAGCACTGGGATCCCTCGTGGAGAGGTTTTAGGGAGACAGCGGCAGCCGTGAGAGAAGAGGATGGGGGATTAGTTGGGGCACCACGTCTTTTTCACGCGCCGCTGCGACTTGACTGACCAGGTGTTTGATGAGGCTCGGAAGCCGCTAGCGCTTTCTCTCCTGGTTCCTCCTCCTCCTCCTTGTGTACCTCGGCAGGAGGTGGAACCACGGGCTTAGGTAAACTCAAGGTGTTTTGGAAAAACCAGTTTATCACTAATGGGTAGGCACCATCAGCAAACTCGATAAACAGTAGCTTCTATTTATAAGCCACCCTTTTCAGTGAGGAAATAGAAAAATAAACCAAACGGTCTGGACTCAGGTACGATTAAACCAATAGGCCAATTTAAACGCTACTGAAACCACTGGGAGAGTAAAAAGAAAATTTCAAACGGAACTGGACATTAAAAAACAGAGAAAAGTTATCGGTTTGATCCACCAGGAAACTGTCAGTTCATGTCGAAAGTCGGAGGTTTCGAAAAATCATTTAGACCGCTGAAGTCAGCAGTTTTCATACGCGTATAAGCGACTAACTTTTCGAAAGAGTTTTAGACCCCATTATGCTATCTCATATGCAGTTTACGTTTATGCTTACCTACAGACCAGATATGCCCGCATATATAATTATTTCGTAAGCTAAGTGGTAACAGAAGAGGTAGCCAACTGAACAATCACCTTTGTCTTTTTACTTTAAAGACGACACGAAAGCTGAATGAGGGGATTGTCGCAATAACCGCATTAAAGGCGTCTTCGATTCTTATTCAACGGACGAAGAACGTTGACGTACGTTTATCTGAGCCAAAATTATAACAAACTAGAGTCCCCTACGTGTGCACGAAATAAGCACCTGTTCGATCGTCGAAAATATAGCTGCAGCACACGGTATAAGTCGTGGAGAACACAGCAAGGTGTAGAGGCTAGATCAACGCATAAGTAAGGCCAAGAGCCCACAAAGGTTACGGATAATGAATATAGAGAAACAGGCCTTACACCTATGGGTAGGTATATAAAATAGTTTTTCAAATTAAAAACTGCAGTCGGATGACCTCAATCTTTTGAGATAAGTTGCGGCTTCATCATGATGGATTGAATGTCTTTTCCCTTGGGCGTAGTAGACAAAAATGCTACTGTTAACTCGGCCAATAGCTAGCCACAGGCAACTCATTCTCCATCTATTAAAAACCCTTCCAGTGTTATTATAAGTAGTTTAACAAGTATGCAACCCGCGGAAGACGCAAATGATTCGCAACCTCGACGAAACTGCGC